ACACGCACCACGGGCGGCGCGCCCAGGAAGGCGCCCAGCCGCTGCTCCAGCGCCGGCGCCGTCACCACCACCAGCCGCAGCTCGGGCCGCTGCCGCAGCACGTCCTTGAGCAGCCCCAGCAGCGCGTCCGTGGGCACCGTGCGCTCCTGCGCCTCGTCCACCACGATCACCCCATACTGCCGCAGCAGCGGGTCCGACGTCATCTCCCGCAGCAGCATCTCGTCCGAGCAGAACCTGCGGCAGTGCCGTGAGCGCGGACGGCCCCCCCGCCGCCGCACAGCCTGCTGGTGCGGCCCCCCCGCGCCCAGCCCGCGGCTCCCAGCACGGATTAAGGGATTAGGGGCAGGCAGCCGGCGGCGCTCACCTCAGCATGGTGTCGGCCGTGCAGCAGTCCTCGTGCGGGACACAGTAGCCCACCTCGTGGCCCACGTTGAGGTCCATCTCGTCGGCCACGCGCAGCGAGAGGCTGAGGGCGGCCAGGCTGTGGGGCTGCGTGCAGGCCACGAGGCCGTGCGCGAACTGCAGCGAGAGCGCGTACTCGGCGCACCACTGCGGCACCTGCGGGGCAGGCAGCGTGGGCTCGGCACCGCCGCGTGCCGACCGGGCACCGCGGGCACCGGGAGGCGGTAGCTCCACACGGCCGAGCCCAGCACCCGCACGCTGCTATGCACTCCCTGCAGCAATTCCTGGGCACAGGCACACGGCAGCAGCTGCTCCAGGGCTCCACTGCCCAAGGCAGCGGGATTGGGAGCCCTCGGAGGCCCCGCGGCCCTGGCTCTTGCTGGAAGCACCGGGCACGGACAGGGAAGCAGCCAGGGCTGCAGCTCCTCGTGGCGCCCAGGCCCTGCTCCCCTCAGCGCGGTCCCACGGCCCCACGCTCTCCAGCTCCAGGCTGTGGGGCCAGGGGCACATCCCACATGTGGCACTGCCCCTCGTGCACCCTCACGCTCTCTGGGGTCTTCCCGTCTCTGCGGATGCTGCAGGGAGCTCTGAGCAGCCCCGGCGCGGGAGGCAGTTGCGACACGCGGCCAGGGGTGCAGGGGCATGGACACCCGGGGGACCCTGCGTCCACGAGCGGGGCCATGGGGCCCCCAACAGCCCCCAAGGACCCAAGGCGCGAGGCTGGAGAGCCATGTCCCAGCGCTCAAGCAGGGAGCACAGGGCGGCACCCGGCGCCGTGCAGACACCCTGTGGACACCGGGACCTGCACCGGGACCAGCCCTGCGCCCCCATCGGCACCTGGAGCATCTGGCCACGGATTCCGGCCCCACTCCCGCTGCCCGCGCCAGGGAGGCACCCGGGCGAGCGGCCAGAGCCGCCGGCACCGCCCCGATAACGGCAGCAGCGCCGGCAGCTCCGCCAGCCCGCGGCCAAAGTCCACGCGGCCCCGTCCCGGGCCGGGATGAGCAGCCGCCCGGGGGCACCCGGCACCCGCCAGGCCCGTCCCGCCCGGCGCTGCCGGCCCCGAGCTCCGCGCAGCCCCCGCCTGCCCGGCACCACGGGGCGGTCGCGCCGGCGCGCTCACCTGGGTGCTCTTGCCGGTGCCGGGCGCGCCGGACACCAGCACGACGCCGCCGCTGCCCTCCAGGTGCTCCATGAAGACGTACTTGGCCGTCCAGACGGGCAGGCGGCGCCGCTGCCGCAGCAGCTCGTAGTAGCGCGACGAGAAGGGCAGCCCGTCGTAGGGGTTCACCTCGAGGTCCCCGCCGCCCGGCGCCGCCTCCCCGTCCTCCTCGTCGTCCTCCTGGGGTGCGCGGGGTGCCGCGCTGCCGGCCATGGCCGCGGTTGCGGCGTCGCTGCGCACGCCGGGGACACCGTCAGCACCAGAGGCCACACGGGACCCACCGGGGCGCTCGGGACTGGGATGGGCAAAGAGGGACGGGGATGGCGCCGACATGGACAGCCCGGCAGGGCAGCTGGGCCAGAGTGGACCGAACCGAGCCGGGCCACAGGGAAACTGGGACAAGGCAGGGACCAGGCACTGGCACAGACACGAGCCAACCAGGCAGGGGCGCCGTAAGCGGAACACCCGGGGAGGGACAGCCGGGCGCCGGCCCCACAAACACGGGACAGCCCAGACCGGGCTGGATCGGACCGGCACCGGGACGGACCCAACCGGACCGACAGTCCGGATTCAGCACTGCCGGTGAGGGCTGGCCTGAGCCATGGTTCAGATGCCGGTGCCGGTACCGGGTCCGGGTCCGGGTCCTGATCCTGATCCTGATCCTGATCCTGATCCAAATCCCGGTTCCGGTTCCGGTTCCGGCCCGGTCGCGGCCCGCCCGCGCTCACCTGCGCGCACCGCCGCCACCTCGGCGCCCTGCCTCGGGAGACGTCAGGTGACCGCAGGCGGTGGTCACGTGGCCACGCCCCCACCGCCAATCAGCGACGCAGGGCGGCCCTGCCGCACGGCCGCACCGCCCGCCTGCCGCCGGCCCCGCCCCCCGCCCGCTCGGCCAATCAGCGCGCGGCAGCGGCCCCGCCTGTTGCTAGGCGCGGCTGTGCCTGCGTGGCAACGGGCGGGCCGCGGCCTAGCCCGGTACCGGCAGCGATACCGGTACCGATACCGGTACCAGGACCAGTACCAGTACCAATACCAGCACCAGTACCAGTACCAGTACCAATACCAGTACCAGTACCGCCCGCGGCACCGCCTGGGGCCAGTCCTGTTCCCGCCCCGCGTGGCCCCAGGGCGCCCCGCCCCGCCCCGGCAGGCGGCGCTGCCGCCGCGGCCCCCGCGCTGCCCCGCGGGAGCCGCCGCCCGGGCTCGCTCCGGTCCCCCGGGCTCGCTCCGGTGCCCCGGGCTCGCTCCGGCCCTGGCTGCCTGCGCCGCCCCCGCCGCGGCGCCTGCCGGGGGGCACCGGCCGGGCCCTGCAGTGCCGCGAGGCCGCCGGGGCCGGCCCGGCGGGGGGCGGCACGAGAGCAGCCGCCAGGGCCGAGCGCCCGGCCCGGGGGTCCGTGGGCACCGGCCCCGCGCGAGGCCCCGGGCCCGGCTCTGCTGCTGCAGCCGGGTCCCCCCGCGGTGCAGGCAGCTCCGCAGGGGCCGGCACAGCCGCGCAGTGCAGGCAGCTCCGCAGTGCAGGCAGCTCCGCAGGGGCCGGCACAGCCGCGCAGTGCAGGCAGCTCCGCAGGGGCCAGACACCCGGCACAGCTCCGCGGTGCAGGCTGCTCCACCGAGGCCAGGCGCCCGTTGCGGCCGCGCGGCCGGCGCTGCCCGCAGGAGGAAGGAAGCGGTTTGGGGCTGGAGACGTTGCTGCTCTCGCTGCGGTGGCAGCTGCTGGGAGAGCGAAGTCCTGCGGCTGCTGCATGGCCCTGCGCTGACCACGAGGCTCCTGCATGGGCCCATGGCCCCTGCTCGGCCCCACAGCCCTGCTCGGCCCCACAGCTCTTGCTCGGCCCCACAGCTCTTGCTTGGCTCCTGCACCAGCCCCTGCTCAGCCCCACAGCCCCTGTGCAGCTCCTGCACTAGCCCCACGGCCCCTGCTCAGTCCCACGATCCCTGCACCAGCCCCACTGTCCCTGCAGCAGCCCCATGGTCCCTGCTCGGCTGATCACCCCTGTGCCTTCGGGCGCCCGTGCACGAGGCGCAGGATGCAGCAGCCCCGGCCACACGGGCCGGTCACTTGCTGCGGGTGCCCGTGCAGCCCCCTGCCCTGGCAGCACTGCTGGGCAGCCCCTGCGCCCCGGGCCGATGGTGGCCGCCCTGCTCCGTGTCCCGGCTCCGGTGCCCATCCCGCCGGCTCCACGGGCCCTGCCACTCAGCACTGCGCTGCAGCATCGCCCGGCCAGCCCCGGCGGTGCTGCGGGGCCCTGCACGGCTGCCCCGACAGCGCTGCGGGGCCCTGCACCCCACCGCGCACCACGGGGCTGCGCCTGCAGAGCCCGGCAGCGCGAGGAAGCGGCGGTCACAGCAGTGCACGGCGCACGTGACCCGAGCGTGGCAGGAGGAACCGGCAGCACCCACAGCACAGCGGGACCCCGCGCTGCCGGCTCCACCATGGCGCCGTGGCTGCCCACCAAGGAGGAGAAATACGGCGTCGGTGCGTGGGCAGCGGGGTGGCAGCGCGCTGCCAAGCGGGACGGGACAGGGGCACTGCGGGACCCGGTGATGGTGCCGGCAGGGCTGGGGAAGCTGCCGTGGAGCTGGGCAAGCTGCCGCAGGACTGAGAGATGCTGCTATGGGATTCGGGGATACTGCCGTGGGACCTAGGGAAGTTGCTGCGGGACCCAGCAATGCTGCCAGGGGGCCTGGGGAAGCTTTGCAGGTGGCAGCGGGGGCCATGGGGCTGGAATGCAGTGCTGAGCGGGCAGGGGCTGGGCACGAAGGTGACGGTGCCAGTCTGGACGTCCCGTGCCCGCCTGGCCCAGAGCAGCCAGTGCAGTGCAGCTCCCTGCAGCTCTGGGTTTGGGCCCCGCTCACACCCACGGGATGCTGCACCCAGGGCCCCTGGGTTCGTCTGTGACTTCTCCTGGCAGCCTGGGCAGCTCCTGGTGCTCCAGGGTGTTTGCCTAAGGCCTGGCTGGGTCATTGCCCTGGGTCCCTGCGCTGAGCAGAGCAGAGCCCCGGCAGCCCCATCCCCCTGCAGCCCCTTCCCTCCCACATCCCTGTCCCTCCTGCAGCCC